TGAGAACTTGTGACATCAGTTTAATCAAGTCTGGCATATTGTTCAAGTCAGTTGACTTTGGACGAATAAAAGCATCTGAATTTTTGGTAGTTGAGCTGCTCCTGTTCTTATTTAAAGTAAATTTTATGCATGAAAATATTTGCCACTCAATTACCCACTGGTCATAGGTTGCTGAAGCCTGCCCTAGAGGGTAATAATGTTGATCAGAAAATGCTTGGAGGGAAAAAAAAAAAAAAAAAATATTTGAAAGAGAAAAATGTTATTCATAATGTTTTTTCCCAAGATATATTTCTTTTAATGTTAAATATGGATTTTCTGTTTAAAAATTCCATGTATAAAGATATAAATTTGAATTTATGTGATAAAATTATAAACTTCATTTCTATATTTAATCTCTACTCTTCCAATGTAAGGTTACTGAGATTTCTTAAAATTGAAAAAGAACTTGTTATGATGCTTCATTCATCATCAGACTATCATGCAGTAATCACACATTAATGAAAATATGGTTTTATATATCTATCGTTCTTTTAGGTCATAAATTTTCTAATTGGCATAGTTGAAATATGCATGCTTAGCACAGTATCTCCTATTTTTTTAGTATTAATGTCATTTTTGTCTTCTGTTACCATATTTCATTGTGTATCCTCCCCTAGCTTTTTAGTGCCAGATTCTGAAAATTAAAAAAATCTTTGTTTAATTTTCCCCTTCCTCAGTGCCTTCAGAGAACAAACTCCTTTAAATTTTAAAATGCATTCATTCATCCACATAGTGATTGCCAACAAAGACAAATCCTCCCAAACTACCTGCAAAGTTCACTCTGAATCATTCTTTTCTAACGTTTGAACTTTATGCTAGCCTAATGCAAGAACCGACCAATCAACAAAACAAATTATGAACTAACCCTTCAGTGTATGATTTCATACAATCAGCTGCACTATTTACCTTCCCTAGTTATTTAGAGATGATTTAAGTCTCAAGGTATACCAAAGGCAATAGTAATAACAGGTGAGATTCAAGTTACATGGACATAGAAATTAAGATACCTAATTAGATATTATAAAGTTAATATTGCTATGTATTCTCATTAGAATATAGGTATTTTTTAAAGAAATAATATTTTGATAATTAGCTAATTTATTCAAGACTACTTTTCATTTGTTATGTTTTTAAACCACATCCTTTGGAAATTAAATTAGTTGCAGTTTTCAATTTTTGAATGATGAAATAACCAAAAAGGGGGGATATGGTATATCATCTCATTATCCAAAACTGCCGTGGCTGTTTCATAGTAATATGTTACTTTCACACTTGTATTGTCTTTTGTATAAAAAAATCTTAACCTACTGGGCACAGCAATTTGTATTAAATTTGATCATGAAATCTTCCTGGTTTAAATCTGTAATATTATTATATATGTATATTAATAATTTTCTGCAAATATTTTTTAAGAAATTTAAAACAATAAAAATTGAAATTAAAAACATTGAGACTAAACTGTGCTATATGCTGCAAGATTAAAAAATAAATAAATAATAAAAATCGGAACGAAAAAGAAGTTTTTCATTACAATTTTTTTAAATTTATTTTAATATTTTTTAAGATAATAGCTATAAAAATCTAAAAAATTTTTCTCTTTAGAAGGACGTCATGGCTGATTCTTATAGGCACATTGTATTTCAACATAATTATGCATAGACACCTCTATAAAACTGAAAATGTGTTTTTTAATTTTTATGTAGCACTGGTTTTCAGCAGAACCTTAATTTCTTTTCTCATTGGCATTATATGTCATTTCTCTCCCCTCTACCTCTCTCTCTCTCTCTCTTTCTTTTTTTAAACTATAGTTTTAGCATTCTCTATTCACATAACAAGGCCAATATAGACCTATTCGGCACACAGTCAAGTTTCAGTGTGTATGTACTTAATTCTTGGTTGTTTTCCCATATTTGTTCTTTTCCTTTTAGCATTCCCTTCAAGGTAAGAAGACATTTTCTGTCTTCTTACCGTGTATTATTTCAGTATTTCATGATCATAATTATGATTTCCTTATGTAATCTTTTACTTTGCTAAATAATTAATGTTTGAGTATTGTTTTTCATTTCATAGATTCTAGATTATGTCAAGGTATTAAAATGCTATATTTCTCAGATGCAAGTACTTTGACTCTTTATTAAATAGCTTAGTTTTTTGTTTTTGGTTAGTCTTTTGTTTCCTTGGTTTCAGTTTTGTATAAATTTATTAAAAAATGCATATTTACCATTTATATGTTTATTTGAAAATTTATTGATGGTTATGTATTGTATTACAAATTGGGAGGGGGAAGCTGAAATGTTGGCAATCATAGAAAAGTATAACCTTATTAATTTTTTTGTCATTTCCTAAAAATAATAAAAAAGACATTTTAATTTCATTAATTTGATATGCTCTAGCAAATATATGAGATTCAGACATGAGAATCTGTGGTTTTCATGGTGTTAAGGTAAAATACTCCTGAAATGTCCATTAATTTCAATTATAATTTTAGAATCATTCATAATTTTGCAACCAAGTGAACAACTACAACCAAGTGAAATCAATGCAAAAATTTCATGCAAGATGTGCTATTTAAGCTCTTGTATCAAGCTCAGCATACACTTCGAGAGGCCAACAGATGAAACTATGCAACCTAAATGTTATAATTCTGGTTTAAATGTTTTATTGGTTAAAATTTACTCTACAGTACCCCTTAGCAAATCATCTCGTTTTTGATGCCAAGAAGGATTGGCACCAATTTCAAGATGATGTTGATCCTTCCGCCCGTTACACAAAACTAAAACAAGAAGTCAAAGACTTACACAAATTCGGTGTTCATGTACACATCGACCTGTTTTAACTTTAAAAAAAATCAGAGAATTGCACAAACTAGGCATTGTGCATGCCCTAACTTTGTCCATGTACACATCGACCTATTTTAACTTAAGGAGAAAAAAAAAAGAAAAAAAAAACAGAATTGTGAAAACTAAGCATTGAGCACTGTCTTAACTATGTCTATGTACCCATCGATCTATTTTCACTTAAACAAAATCAGGAGGCTAAAACAAAGTTGAAACTATCATGTTAACCAGAAAGAATTCTCCGCTGTCCTAACACACAGAGACTAACCAATAACCAAAAATACACAGAGAGTAATAAATAACCAAAAATACATATTTCCTAACATAAAAACATAAAACAACGAATCTGTTAACAAAAATTAACACATAGAGATCAATAAATAAATGAAAACGTCAATCTTTTAACATACTTTTTTTTATGCGCATGTTCACACTTCCCACCACCATCTCCTCCATCCTCCTACGTAAGCAGTTCATTAAATTTTTGGTCGCTTCGACTCATCCATTGTTAATCAACATTTTTTTTTGCTTACCCACCTCAGACATACTCAAATGATGGTAACAACAGCAAAATAATAGCAAGTTCAAAATCCAAGATGCACATGCAAGCAAACAGCGACAGGAACTGAAAACCAAACCTGGATCCACACAAAGGGGTTACTATTACAAAAAATAGCCAAAATCTGAATTTATTACAACATGTTTGGTGATATTCGCTGAAATAACACCTTTTTACTGACAAAAATTAAAAAAGAAACACAATTTTTCCTAAGGCTAGTTTTGCCAACATTATCAACATTTACAGTTACCAAAAAACCTATTTCACGCAGCAGGTTTCCAGATTTCACGAACAACCACTACTGCATGGCTATTTTTTCAGACAGAAACCAAGGGGTAACGTACAGTAAAGATCAGCCATTTTGTTTGCTAAATTTCAACCCATTTTGTCTGTGATTCTAAAAAACCATTTTTAACTTTATAGAATTGTCATCAAGAATTTTATATGTATAATGATATTATCAAAATATGAATAAATGTCAGGGAAAAACTCAAAAAACTGTCTGTTGGCTGTTTAACACACTTCACCTTGCATAGCTGAGGCCAAAAAGCATTGCCAAGGAAGTAATATCTTTGAAAAGAAGTCATAAATGTACCCAAATCAGCACCTTCACCATCTAGTTGAATGTGGTAGAATGTATTTTTTGCATCAGTTAAGGAGATATATTTAGACCCCCTTAAGCTTTGACAACAGCTGATTGGGGAGGGAGTTAACATATGCTTTGAATATGATGTACCCCTATAGGGATCTGTGGTCATTAGACTGTTGATTGCCCCATATTATGAAATCAAGCAAACAAGGATGCCCTTTAAAAACATTCTGTTTATTTTTACAATGCTTGATGTAACACTATCCTGCTGAAATCAAAGATTGGCATCATCTGTGGAATATCATTGAAAGAAATTGTCAAACACTGCATCAGTAACAAAGTGGATTGTTCAAAAATAGAACTAATCTAACCAACAGTAGACCGTGCTGTTACTCTCACTTGCGAATGAAATTTTGTGCAGCTGCAGTAGTTTTTGTGTCAGTCCAATAATAGAAGTTTTATTTATTGGTGAATCATAAGATGTGAAAATGTGACTTTTTGGATATGGTGAAATTTCCCACTATTTTTCAAAACTTCATAGAATTATCTGCAAAAATTAATGTATTATGCTTAACATTCTGTAAGTTCAAAACTAACTTGCATTATATATTATTATTCCCTTTTGAAATGTTTTTATGGAAAGGAATCCTACTGTATTAAAATACAGCAAGCTTATGTAAAAAATCTGTATAGTTGATTTCATTTAAAAATAAATCCTTGTTGTAGATATGTGAATACGAATAATTTTCATACCTCACATTATACATTGACCTCTGCTGATTTTGCTTTGAGGCAAAGTGTTGTTTAATAGCTAAAAAATGTTAAATAGATAATTTATCATTCAGTTGATTATAGAATATTCTAGCACCCATTGTTTTGTATGCACATATTTACATGCTATATTAACATGCATTTTTAATAACTTTTAAATGGATATGATTAACATCTAAATTGGCAATTTTTTTTTCATTTTAAGGTTTGATTGTAGCCTTCCTTCTGGTTGCAAAATTCTTGAGGAATATTAAGAAAATGGAACCTAGTTCAAGTTCTTCCAATAAATCTAAAAGACCTACAAAGCTAGAAGCATCTACTGAATGCTGTGATGGTGCTAACAGTGCTGAAGGTGGATTTTCTACAAAAGGTCCTTCAAGAGGAAAGCGTATGAAAAAAGAAGACAGTGGAATAAATGTGATACCGGAAAGTGATAGTTCAGATGATAGTACTGACTGTGATCCCAAAACTAGTCATATGAATGGTGAATGTGATGCTTTAAAGACAGACTGTAATCAGTCTGAACTGAGCAGTCCTGATTCTGGTAATTTAGAAACCTGTAGCCTTCCTGAGCTAGAGCATAAAACTGAAAGCAAAGAAGAAGTACTTAACAAAATGCAAAAATGTTCCCAAAAAACGGGAAATGCATCAAAAAGTGCAGACCGTGTAGAGGATATGGAAAGTGAAACAACAGATACTAATGTAAATATTCAATTAAACAATTTAAAAATGAGATATAAAAAGCGACAATCAACACCAGGGTCAGATGATGATCATGATTTTGAAGAGATAGATTTAGAGGATGATGAAAAAGATTCATCTAAGAATGATGAGGAAGATAAATTGAAATATGATCCTACACCCAATACTCCTCGACCCAAATATTGTTGGTCAGCTCCTAAATGTGTTGTATCTCGGCAATATGGATATTCTTCAAAGTATTATCCTGATCTTTTTAGATACAATTGTTATGGTAGTCTTCATATGGTAGAAAGATTGGAACTAATGTATAAAATGAAACAGCATGATGGTTGTGTAAATGCATTAAACTTTAATACAACTGGTACAAAACTTGCTTCAGGGTCAGATGATTTAGGTATAATTATTTGGGATTGGACAATTTCTAAACCGTTGTTAGAATACAGTAGTGGTCATCGAAGCAATGTTTTTCAGGTGAGTGTAAATTTAATTTTCTGAATTAATATAAAATAAGTTAAATTATTTCTTTCTAGCACTTTTCTAGGAATAGAAAGTAATAAAATATAAAGAGTGTGTTAATAATTATAACTAATGATTTTATGTTCTTTTTACTTGATTTGTTATTAAAATTTTTTTTTTCCTTTGTTAATATTGATCTCTTTCTCTTTTTTGGCTGTTATGTGTATATACATTTACCTACATAGCAGTATTTGAAAAGATACCTTCTAACTAAAACAAAAAAATGTTTTAAATAATATGTTGCAGAAACAGAAGTGTAGTTGCCAGGAAAATATTATTCTCTAACAAAGGTTTGTCTTTATCTCATAGCAGAATGTGATGCTTTTCCGTTTCGCTGAAGCAAATCTTGCCAAGCAGACTTTATTGGCAACAACACACAGTATACCATAAAAAAATGTTAACAAATGTTAGTTCTAAGAAATTTTTTATTTTGAAGGCATAAACATTTTAATATCGTTTAAAATTTTGTAAAAAGACAATAAAGTGCAAGGAACTTACATAGACATTGGGTCATCTGGAAAGTTCTGCTGTTAAATTTAAAACAATAAATTCCTAAAAATAAATAAATAAATTCCTGACAATAAATTCCTAAGAAGACGTTAATTTAAGAATTTACTATGCTTTCATGGTACAACTTCTTGATTCGCCGTTTCATATCGCATGACCCCAAGTGATCACATCTCACATAAATTATGCTACAAAAATCTATTTCTCTCAGTAATTACCTACATTAATTTCAAGTTAAATCTTAATTTGGAATACAAGTTTAAATGCAAGAATTATTTCAGTTTGTACGAATAGCTTACTCAGAAATTATGTAAAACCACAGTGCTGTATTTCGCTAGTGCATTCTCATTAGAATTGAGGAATTTAACCCTTGACTTTGCTTTTTCTATATTTTTGCCTTCGGGTGAGTGGTGTGATTGCATTTTAATTGACTTAATTACCACAACAATTGACTTAGACCATAAAATTTAACATCCTAATTGACTTAAGGCCATCCCAGGGTAACATCCTAATTGACTTAGGGCATAAAACTGAACTATTTGGTAAAAAATTCTATGTAATTGTGTGCCAGTATTGAAAAAAACAATCAATCTGATAAGAAATGGCAGTGACTTGTTTTGAAAATGAGGCATAAAAGGTTACCAGCAAGAATATTCCGTTTGGCATTGGTTGTACCATTTTTGGTGACTTTTATTGCTTGCGCCTGCAAAATGGAAAAGTATCCAGAATTTTTAAATTAATATCTATCATCATAGTATAGAATTATTTTTATAAATAATGAAAAAAAAAAACTTGTATAAAATATGCTTAACAAATCAAGTTGATCACAAATTAAAAAACTGTAATTTGTTGTGCAGGGTGAAAGTAAAAATTATTATGTTGCATTGTAAAATTCTAAAATTCTGTCAAAATAGTAAGGATGTTTTTAATTCAAAATGAATCAGCCAGTCGTGCAGTTACCAACTTAAAATATATATTATAAAAATTAATGAATTCAGCTAATTTCACAGGTATAACTAATGATGAATAATAATATTAGAGATAAAGAACTGTGTGAATATATGCTGTCCAGAGAGTTTGCTAATCAGTAGTGAACATTAAATGTGAAAGAAAAATATATTATGTTAAACCAAAAGTCAACACACTAATAAAAAAATATTTTATTTCTAGCGGTGCAATAAACTAAGCGATTAAAAAGAAATGTCTTTTGTTCATTAAGTTTGAAAGACAAATATCTTATGCTTTGCTGAGTGGCAACATATTTCCTTTAAATTGTTGAGTTTTCTGATGAAATTCAAAAGGCTTTGTTGAATGGCAACACATTGCTTTTAAATCGCTGAGTTTGTTAATCAGAATTTTATTAAATGTGCATAAAATGTAAATAATGAAGAAATTATTGAAAATTTGAATTTCAAAGTGTACATGTTCAGGGAAAAGGATATGTGTTTTCAAAATTATTCGCTGTAGGTATTGCTGTTTTTCGGCAGTGCAAGGAACTTACATAGACATTGGGTCATCTGGAAAGTTCTGTTAAATTTCTTCTGCTGTTAAGTGTGTTTTATTCTAATTATTTTGTTTCTGTTAATAAGAAGTGAACTACAAGGAGCAAATATTTAAACACAATGTTGGATATCAGTTTAAATAGAGTCACAGTGTATAATTTTGCATGTATTGTGGCTTAATTTGTATTTCAGTGTAGTGCTAAGAATGGGGAATCCAAAAGTTTGTTTTTGACCTCGAAAATTTAATGCAGCTATTTTAGAAAAGAAAGAGGTAGTTTAAAACTTTATTGCTGTGTTCAGATTGTCAGATTTTTATAGTACAGTCAAAAGTCGTTAATCCGGACTCGTCGGGACTTCGGCGATTCCGGATTATAGATCATCAGTTTAAATCTCGTAAGATGGCATTCAGAAATTACAAAATTAAAAATATGAAACCGTAATTTATTAAATAAAGAACAATTATGATCTAAAGGGTATCAAAATTTACAAAAAGAAAAAGCTTAATATTTATTTGTTTACCTTATTAAACATTTCCTTCAACGTAAGTTGCTTCGTTTCATGTGATAATACTTTCTCTTTAATTCTATTAAACAGACATAATTTCTTGTTTAGTTACAAAGTTCCGCTGTTCAAGTCCTATAATTGCTGTTGTTGAGAATACCGACTAATTTGTCAATCGAAATGTTTTCGTTTTCAATAACCTCTGGGTCACTTTCTTCACTATCGGAAGCGAATTATAATGACGAGGAACTTGATTTAAATCATATTAAAGACGGAGTATATCGAGATGAAATACTACACTTAGTACGGAATTATAAACCAAATAAAATAAACATCTGCCCTGAAGATAAGGATAGTGCTGACAGATCAACTTCCAATCCGCGGCGCGAAATTGATAAACAGATTTCGGATTTCAAAACATACTTTCGCTTTGTAGATACAAATTACATATTAGTAAATATATATCGGAAATTCTATTTGACATAATCTTTCTAATCTATCATAATCTAATAATGACGTTTCTGCCCCCTCCTCTGCTGCAAAGCAGCGTGAAATTGATAAACAGATTTCGGATTTTCAAAACATACTTTCGCTTTGTAGTAAATATATATCGGAAATTCTATTTGACATAATCGAAAGTTCAAGCTTACTTTTATAAAATTGCTCTAACAGTCTGCAAAAAATAATAAGCCGGATCCAATTCGAAGATTAAAGAACAACGCAATCAGCAACATTAACTGAATTAGATAACTTTAGCTTAGCGTATAACTCCGTTACACATTAAATGCGCATGCGCACAAACATATTCGCAGCCGTAAGGGTCTTACGCACTCTCGTAAACGCCTGTGCGCATGCGTGAACGCGACGCATGCGCAGAAAGTTTGCAGCTTTGAGGTCCGAATTATAGATCATTCCGGATTATGGGTGTCCGAATTAACGACTTTTGACTGTATTAGCTCAAAATAAAATCTGACTACTGTTGTGACAGTATCTTTTAAAACTTCAAAACTTATCAGGTAGTATTTCAAGTTTTCTGAAGCTGATTTGTCATTATCTTTTGATTTTTGAGAACTAGGAACTGTGGCAAGTCATTCTGAGCTGAATTCTTTGTTGAGAGTTCAATTTTTGTGTTCACCAAGAATGCTGTATTTAATACAAAAGGACATCGATTCCTATCTGAACTAATTTTTAATTAAAAATAATCACTTATCGATGGGGGGGGGCAGCTTATTCTTCATCAGTGTTTTATTTGACACATGTACTCATGTCTGCCTTATATTATTATTTTTAGAACAAGAAAGCATGAAAAAAAACTGCTTTCTAGCTAGGTCTCAAATAGGAAAGTTCCATGTGTAAGCTGGGTGTGCTAATCACATACTTCTGCCACAAGCGCTTGCATGAGAGAATGTTTTAATTTTATGTAGCCTATCTCGTATTGGGAATTCTTTGTATTAGTATATTGTATTCAAGTGTTTGAGTATAAGATGTTCCAATTAATTAAGAATACTCATCGAGTATTTTAAAAGGAGAACATTCACAATTAGGTGTATAAATTCCTTTCAGGTGTTAAGTGATTCAGTAGTGATTTTCATAAAGTGGGCAGGTCAGTAAGAAGATCCTCTGCAACTTAACGTTATATTATTTTGGAAAAAGCAGTTCTACAGAAAGACATTCGAGTGCCTTTTAGCAACAGACATATTACATTTTTATTGAAGTTTTATATAGAAAAATACAAGTACTTTGATTATAATAATAGCCACGCTTTGTATCATTATGATGTATAATTGATCATATAACTGGAAACAGGATATTGGAGCAGAATGTTGTCTTATCATTTTAACTGTATATTTTCTATTTCTTCTGGTGTTTCAATGTGCTTTGTGAATTGAGTGTTTTCATTGAACCGTTTTGGGTTCACAGTCTTTTCTTCTCATGATCAGCAGATGCAATTATATTTAATGCTGTATTAACACTGGAACATAACTTTATGTTATGGTTATTTGAATGAAGCTCTTCACTGTGGATAATTCTTTTTTCTTGAAAGAATTTAATTGCAGACTCTCATTTAGATTTTTTTATTTAAAATCTTGATACAAACATTTTGAATCCAGATATTTGGTACAGTTTTGCAGTTTAAAGTAGTTATTTTTAGTGTGCTTGTACACATTTTGGCTGTTGCCACATTGCTGGAAGTGTATTAAGATTTTAGCTCTCACAGTTCTTGTCCATTTAGAAGACTATATTGATATTGAGTTAATGAGTACAAGTTTAGCAACTTTGATTAGTGACAGTTTTAAAAGTTAATGTCCAACAGACTATAGCAGTATGCTTCAGTAATGATGAATAAACAAGTTGCCAGTAATGTCCAAAAATCACTAACCTCAGAAAGTCCTCCACGAAGGCATCTCTCCTCTCAGGCAGATAGCCCTCGAGGCTTTGCCATAA